TAAAATTTGGGTCACAAGTAAAACCTTTTATAAGCTTCGTGTGGGCTTTGGAATCACGTCGATCGGATATCGGACGGAGAAACGACGCACTCCGGAATTTGGTCTGGAGGTGCTGTCATGACAGCATTAAATTGCTGTCATGACAGCTACAGTGTTGATTTTGTAACCTGCACAAAATTCAATCCGTCCGTTGGATCTTTTCAAAATTTAGTATGCTAATAGTATTCTTTAAAAGTGACATGTGGGCTTTGGAATCACTCCGATCGGAGGTCAGATGATGAAATGGTGCACTCCGGAAGTTGGTCCGGAAGTGCTGTCATGACAGCTTTTTAGCTGTCATGACAGCAAAAATAGTCAATCTTTTAACATGTCTAATTTTTAATTCGACCATTGGATCTTTTTGAAATTTGATACACTTATAGTACCCTTTGAATGTGACGTGTGAGCTTTAAAATCACTTCAATCGGAGGTCGAATGACGGAACACCGCCTCCTGGAAGTTGGCCCAGGAGGGCTGTCATGACAGCAATAAATTACTGTCATGACAGCATCTTTTTATTCCATTTTCATCTAACTTGCTTCCGTGCGCTATAGGTAGAACCTATAATTATTTTTAAGGTTTTAAATGATTTATTTCTTAAGTTGGTTAGAGGATCAACTCCTTAACCACACTTAGTTTGTTTGAATTATGTGATTTTTGGATAACACTCAAGGCAAGTGTTACAATTTATTTTAAGTTTGGGGGTGAGGGATGCTCATTGTGGTACATCTTTTTGTTATTGCATCATTTTGGCTGATTTGGCAGACATTTCAATTTTATAAATTTATATTTTTGCTCGTTAGTTTCATTATTGTTGAGCTAAATTGATAGATTATATGTTGAATTGCATGTTTGATTGATGATTGAAAAGTTGTTTAGTAAGTATTTTTGGTAAGTTGTAGTTAATATTGAGGTTTTCATGATTTGCATTATTAAATCTTGTATTTCAATATTTTTGAAGAAATTTTTGCGCACAATAGAGTCAATTTTATTTTGAATGTTGTTGTTGAAGGAAATTGCAATAAGTTAATTTGTATGATACTATTTTGACCAATGGATTTCATTGTTTGCTTTGAACTTTCTCAAAACCTTCTAGTTGTTTAACTTAATTTTGAAAAATGATTAGGGCCATATGTAAATGCGTTTAGGCCTTTCAAGCTAACCTAAGTTGATGTTATCCTTTTGAACCCATAATTTAAGCCTAAAAAACAGTTTAATAAATTATTTTAGCTATCCATATGAAATCCAAACCTTATAAGCTCGAAAAACCATGAATTACCTTGGCTTTAAAATAAATAGATATTTGTGATGGGTGATTAGGATTGGATGTGGTCGGCAAGTTACGCTATTCTTAGTTGGGTATGGATTATATGGATGAAATCATGGGGCTTTTGTAATCCAAGATCTTATTAATAAAAAAAAAGTTGTGTATTTTGAATTCAATAAAGCTTAGTGTAGAAGATTAATTTGGTTCAAGTTTGGGGAAGGGTATATGTGTAGTTGTTACAAGCTTATAAAGTCCTTTTGATTTTTAAATCTAGTAAGATAACTTGTGGGTAGAGAGATTGGGAGAAGTTGAGATGTAAAAATTCCATTGATTGAAATTTCTTTATACAATTTGAATTGATGTTGTTGACTTAGGCAATTGTAGGATAAATATGTCTTGACTCTATTCACACACTCACACTTCAAAATTGTTGAAAAGCTAGCTTTAATTTTATGAATCATACATTCATTAATATGATACTTTCTTCTAATTAGAATACTTGCTTGAGCAACTGATGAGGAAAAAATTATGCGTGCATGGTAGATGTCTAATTTGTCCATTTAGTTGTATTAATTGTTTTACTCAAGGATGAGTAAAGATTTAAGTTTAGGGGTGTGATAACCTATTAAAATTAATGTCAATTCAGCACATTTTCTTACACTTTCTTTGATGGATTAGATCAATTGTGAATATTTTGAGTTTAAATATAGGAAAATGAGCTTTAATCTAAATTGACCTAGAAAATAGAATGTATTGAAAATTTTGCATGGACTCTTACCTTGACTTTAAACTTTAAAAGATCTCATAGCTGTATCTACTATTTCAGGTGATTTATTTTAGGTAATTTTAAAGATAGATAGCCAAATGATGTTTGAAGATGCATATGGAAACATAACAACAGAAAAATTAGAGCTAAAAGTAAGATTAGAGGCTCTGTATCATGTGCCGCGATACATGCACAGTGTACCATGGCATGCGGCACAAAGATAGAGTTCTTGCAGATGAAGAAGCACCGCGACGCATTACTAACATGCTATGGCACAATTCCACATTTCCACATGCACCACGGTACACTGATAACACGTCGCGGCCCATGGCTTAAATCTTGCTGTGCATTTTGAGATGTAGAATGGAAAAATTAGGATAGATAAGTCATAAACACGCCTCCAGACATGGAGCTGTGATTTTTAGAGTTTCCTTGAGGCTTTCTCTGCTAAGGTTTAGGGTTCTTGAAGAGATTTGGCTAAGGATTGAAGATTTGAAAAGATTCAAGTGGATTTCTTTTAGTTTTTCTTCTTCTCTTCCCTTTTCTTTCTTTGTTTCTGATATAGATGTTGTATATTGTGACATTTATGGCTCTTTTCTGAACATGGGTAGCTATTTCTTTTGTTCTAGGATTATTTCAAACCTTCATATGGATTAAGACTTGAATATTCCTCTCTTTTGGTAGTTAATGATATATATGTATTTATTTTATTCTATGCTTAATGCTTTTAAGTGCTTGATCACCATTTAGATTATTTTATTCACTTGAGTTATGCTTGAGAGAGCTAATTTAGGTGTAGAACTTAGATAAAATAATGTTGGACTTGAAATTTACAAAGATGAATAGATGGTTTTGTTGGTAAAATAGAGATATTTTATTAACCCTTCATAATCATATTAAGATTAGAGCTTAAAAGTTATTTTCACTAATTATTTTCAAGAGATTGTGAAATCTTAGTATTTGCAAATATACTTAATTTTGACTTGAGAAAGCTTTTTCAAGTAAATTAGAATTTTAGACTAACACTTATTTTCATTAAAAATCTATTTGAGAGAAATTAATTTAAGTTTTATGAAATACAAAGGGGAGAGATAATCCTAGATCCTTACCTCTGAAAGTCAAGGTTTCAACAAGTTTTAATTACTTTAAAATAATTCTTAATCTAATATTTATTACTTTCACACAAACATACTCTTAATTTTACTCAACCTATCTTGAGCTTAATAGTGAATTTTAACCCTCATTTGCCTAAATCCTCATGGGAACGATAACTTTAAAATATTTTACACCTATGACAACCTATAAGCTTGCGATAATGCTTGACAGCGAATAAACTCCAAATTCATAACCCATATGTATATAATTACCAAGCTAAGATTAATCTTTCTTTCTAGATTTCAGCTTCCTTAAACCTTACAATATTAATAATCAAATTATTTTCAAATAGAACTCCAAGCTACAACATCATCTCCTTCCTTATACACCTGTAAATTACCATTTAAATTAAAATTCCCCTTCCTATACATGCACGTACAGTCACAGTAACGGGGGAGATGAATTTCTGAAACTTCAACCCTCAAATTACATTTATGTATATATTATTACCAAGTTCAGATGGATTTCAAGCTTAAAATTTCAATCTTCTCCTCTATAACAGCATAGGCGACAGCAGCAGAACAAAAATGAAGTGCTTTAACTACACACACAAAGTAGCAACAACAACACGCACACATATTCACACGTACAACTAATCAATAAATGAAAGGTCCAAAGTTCCTCACCTCAACTTGGCTAGCCCAGATAGTGGCGGACAATCGAGAAGAGAGAAGGAGGTGCTTGAATGCTGAACAGAGGAGAGAGAGCTTGATGCTGCCATACGTTATGGAAAGAAGAAAAATGAAACCCACAGCTGAACAGGGGAGGGATATGCTGAACGCTACTCGCAAGAAGGGAAAAAAAAAACCAGATCAGCAGTGATGAATCAAGCTCTTGATGACACCACCAATAGCTCCGGCAACTAAGTTTACCACCCTAGTAGTAACTCAAGCACGACAACGCAGACAAAGATAGAGCAGAGAACAAAGAGAAAGAACAGAGACAAGGAGCACAGAGGGAACAAACTAGCACAGCCACAAGCTTCACTCTCACCGGCGACCACTGGAGACACGAAGAATGAAAAGAAAGAATTGCAATAAGCTTTTAGATTTTTCTTTCTCTCTCTCACTCTGTAAACCGACTCATATGGCTGAGGGAGAATATGTGTGTTCTGTCTTGAACTTGCTTTATTTGTTTATTATTCTAAGGGCAAAGTGGTAATTTCAACTAGGCTGAAGCAAAAGAAATGAAACTCCCCCTTTTTGCTCTATAGATAATTCGAACTTGGGACCTATTGAATAGGTAATTACATTGTCGCCACTAAACCAACTCTTTTTCTTGCCAAATGTGCTCCTAAAATTAATATAATTACTACTAAAACTTAAACTTATATATTAATTAATTAATTTAAATTTTTTCTGGGTTATTACAGCTTTCCTAGAACCAAGCGATATTTATGGCTTGATTTTCCTTCCAAAAGTTCCCTAGCTATAAGAAAGTATAATTCCTAAGCTATCAAATGAGCAAAATCAAGGCTATATATAATATAGGTCACATTTAATCTAAAGCATGAAGTATATTATAGAAGCTTTTTCACTCAAAACAGACAATTTTCGATTGATTAAGTTATAAACACATATATATAATAATAAAAGCACAAATGACCCAAAGAAAAATTTCTAAAGGTTGGGAGACTCGCATAATACAAAAAGGTTCCCTGCTTATACAACAACCATTCCATGGTTTAAAGCAAAATTCCACAAAAATAAAGACGTGAGTTAGGCTACTTATTTGTTCATTACTTGAAGCAGTTGTTCCAACTTTATGCATCTGTTAGTATGAGCTAGGCTCTATATCTGAGGTAGATTCATCCTCTTCAACAATGAACTGATCATTATTGCTGACACTATTTCCTTCATCTCCTGTATTTTGCCATCTCTCAACATCTTCTTTGCATAACACACGCCAACCACACTTACCTATTCTAAGAACAGACTTCTTTTGACCCTTGTTGTTAGTGAAAAATACCAATTGAAGTTGGTCCACAAAAAAAGAAGAGCAACAAATGTAGATAATACATAGTTGATGACAACATTTAGACTGGAGATATATCCCACAACCACGATATGATTTTGAATATTTACCATTAGGAAATCTATAAGTCCACCAAATAGCATCATCACTGCTATCATCATCATCGTCAAGATTTGCAGATTCCAAGTCATTTTCTAGCACCAAGCATACAGCTATGCCCCACCATTCACTTGAATAGTATGAGTCAGGCATGTTTATTATAAATGACACATTTGTCACAGAATTGTCAAAAGGAAAATCTTCCTGACAAAAGTAGTGTTGATTATGAAACCATGATGGCACTTCACTACCAGGAACAGTTAACATGCGAGTAGGTTGCAAAAAGAAGTCACACTGTGAAAGGGGAAAAATATAATTGCATTAGATAATATAATAATTAATATGTAAGAAATAATAAAAAAAACAAAGAAGTCAAATAAACTAGAAATTGTTGGCCAAAAAAAACTAGAAATTCATGAGGTAAGAATAACTCACAATTTTTGAATCCCAAGTTACAATTATTGATGACAGTGTGTCACTTAAAAAAAGATATTTCCAATCTTCACCTGAGATTTCCTCGTGGACTTGAATCTATAACAAGATTTGCCACGTTAGAAAAGTATAATGACTAATGAAAAAGGAAAAATAGCAAAGACAAATAAAATAAACCTGAGATTGAAATGATTCGATGAATTCCCATAGTTGCTGTGAGCATACATAATGTTTGATTGATAGACAGTCACTTGCTAGTATAGTTGACAAGCTTGAGGGAAGTCGAGGCAAAGATTGAAGCTTTGGGCAATCATTAAGAGTAATGCATTCAAGCTTTCCAAGATTGCAAATTAGGTCAGAAGGAAAGTCGACAAAGTTATTTCCACATAGATCTAATGTTGTTAATGATGGTAACCTGCTAATTTCATTGGATAGTGATGCATCATGAAGATTGCAATAAGCTAAATGTAATTGGACCAGAGAATATGATAGATTTGAAAGAGGAGGAGACCACAATAACTTTGTTGAACTTAAAGGCCTTTGAAACCTAAGAAGGGAACAACAATTCCATGATGATGACTTTGATTGCTCATAACCCTTAAGTCTACTAAGAGATAATACTTTTAGATTATTCAAGGATGGAGGCACTTCTTTTATAGCAGTTCCACTCAAATCAAGCTCTTCTAAAGCCTCATTTTCATTCAAATTCTTTGGAAGCTTTGATAACTTTGAGCAACCAAAAGTATTGACAATCTTTATTGATTTCAATTTTTGAAAATCACATGGAAGGCAAACTAGATTTTTGCAATTCCTTAAATTTAATATAGTAAGACCAATCAAATTGATCAATGATTGAGGTAGCACGGATATAGCAGTCTCCTCTAAATCAAGCCTGGATAAACGTTCCATACCTTCACCAAACTCAGGAAGTTTTTTAACTTTTGAACAACCAGAGAGAATAAATGTCTCTAAGCAATTCATCTCACATTTTTTAGGAAGGGTTTTAATGCTTTTGCAACCTTTCAAATTAATGAAGACAATATTCTTATGTTGCCCAAGAGAGTGGTGAACTTGAACAAGCTTTGTGCACCCTTCAAGAATCAATCTTTGAAGATTAGGAGTTTCATCAAAATTTGGTGTTCTCATCAAGTATGTTGAATGACTCAAATCAATGAACTTCAAACATTCTAGGGACTGAAAAAAAAAGAACAAGAAAAGACATAAGCCTTTAAAAACCAATAACTAGTGGTACATGCTTCAAATTTTACACAAACAAATTAAGCCAAGGACCTTAATTAACTACCTGAGTTCCTCTCCAAAGTTCTTTTAATTTACTGTGTTGCATTTTGAGATCAACAAGCTCATTCAAGTAAGTTTGAGTTGGCAAGATATCTAAAGGATACCCCTTCCATTCTATGACTTTCAATGAGTTAGAAAGGCACTTAAGTTGTCCATCAAGAATATTCAATTGGCCTTGTGAGAAGCGTGAATGACTTGATATGATAAGTAACTTGAGATTACTCATATTTAAGAAAGCTTCATGGTCCAAATGTAAGACATGCGGTTTGTCAAATCTCACTGCTATACCTCGAATTGCTTCAGATCCCTATTATATATAAAATAATAAATCAAGCTAATAATCATTTGTAAAATGCATGGAATACATTCCATTTAAGAATGCACAGCCACAAAATAAAGTGAGGAAATGTTACCTTCTTATTTTTGAGGACATGATTAGCATCCTCTAAGGACCATATCCTACTACGTTTTCCAACATCATTTGGTGATTCACAAAAAACAATTTCCTTACCCATTTCTTGAAGCATGTCATGCACCCTCAAACGCCCTTCATCTTCAGTTACCAATGATTTCTCAATAAGAACTGCAATTCCAATTGTTGGGTAAAGATCACAATTTTTTAAAATTTCTATGACATCATCCTTGGCCATTCCATTGAAAAAGCAAGCAATATCCAAAAATATTGTCTTCTCATTATATTCTAGTCCATCAAAGCTCACTTTAAGTATCTTCAAAATGTCATTTGGAGGAACTTTCCTAAGTGCATCCTTCCATTCTAATATAGTTCTTCCACAAAGAAATGAACCAAATACTTTGAGTGCTAAAGGAAGGCCTTTAGTAGATTTAATCACAGTTTTAGAAAGCTCTAAATAATCTTGGCTTGGCTGCTCTCCTTTAAAAGCTGTTTGAAGAAAAAGTTGAGAGGACTCAGCATGACTTAAGAATTTCACCTTGTGTTGAGAAACTCTATCATAATGCAACGATAATAGACGATGATCTCTAGTTGTTATTATTATTTTACTCCCTTGGCCAAACCATTCTTGATTTCCAGCCAAATTCTCAAGATGGCTTTTGTCGCTCACATCATCAAGGACAAGTAAAACTCTTGTATTACATAACAGTCTTTTTATCAATTTCCTTCCTTCGTCATGATCACCTACTTCGATGCTAATTGTTTTTTTTGAATGACAATGAGAAAGAAGTTTTCTTTGCAATAATATCAAACCACCATCTTTTGCAGCTAACTCTCTAACATTATGAAGAAAGCAATGAACTTCAAAGTCTTTGTGTATTTTCTCATAAACAACTTTTGCAAGAGTAGTTTTCCCTAATCCTCCCATTCCACATATTCCTATAAATTGAACTTTCTCCGAGCCCTTTGCAACAAATGAATCAAACTCTGCTATTTTCATATCAATTCCAACAAGGCCATCAGAATCAAATGGTGGTTCATCTAGTTGTAATTTTGACTTTACCTCTTCAATAACAATTTCAATGAGTTCTGTTTCATTACTATAAAGGGAAAAAATAACATTAATATTTAATTAAAAATAAGGTTAAATCCAAAAGACGAAGAGGTTAAAGTGTAAATAAGCAGTATATAAATATAAATTTTTTTTTGAAGACTGCAATATCAAATTATAAACACTACAACTTACTCTACCTGGTTCTTAATATAAAAAAATTTCTAGAATTTTTGTTTGGTCCTCAAAGTAAAACATGTACTTTATAAAATTTAATGAAGCATCTATAGATTACTCCTCCGATTCTTTTTATAATGTGCTTTAGAAGAGTAAAAGTAGTCTCTAAAACATGCCAATCTTTTAAAACTAGATTAATCATTTGATTAAGGGTCAATGGATTTTTTGTTGGATGCACCTTTCTTTTAATGATAATACAACTTGAGAATAGGTTTTTTTTATTTATGCATATTATTAAATCAAGTTATGACAAAACCATCCAAGAAAGAAAAGGATAATGAAGAAGATAAGACTTAATAGTTGTAGATTTAATCTTTGTTCTTTCTCTTAGTTCTTTTTAAAAATCATTTTTGAGAGCTTGTATTTGCATATAATGATATAAACTTGATAAGAGACATGTCATAAGCTCACACATCATGATCATAATTTAGAAAATATCTTAGAAAGCATTTCAATCTATTTATACTCATTTTCATGAGAACTAGTTAGTTAATGTGTAATCTAGTTGAAATGCCCAAGTGTGTATGTGTGTATGTGTGTTATTGAATTCATTTTTGCAATAAGTAGATGTTGCCCTCACAAGAACTAGAGTTCCAAAATAGCATCTTGTTCAATCTACTTATTAATGTGAAAATTAGTTTGATTCATATGAGAATTAAAGCTACAAAATAATGCCTGCTTCTGTCTAACTACATCACACAATGATCAAAATTGATTCACCCAAAAAGTAGGTTGACAATAAGAACCATGGTTCTAGACTTCTATTTCTCACAAGAAGTAGTTGTCTTACTCACGAGAATGAAAGTTCTGATAGCTACTTGAGTTGTGTCCAAACTAGTTTGCACAAGAACTAATTAATCCATGCAAAAAGCAGTCCATCCTTTTAAAAATCTCAAGTTTGTCTAAGTGAGCCTAGAAGACTTGAACATTTCATGAAAAATACTAAATCTTGTGTTCCAAAACTTGTCAAACAAATTCTACTAAGAATTGGATTGTACCTACATGAGAACTAAGCTTTTAAAGAAGTCATTCACCTCTGTAATCCAATTCTTATGAAAACTAGATAGAGCCCGTGCATGATCTTTGTGTTTGTTTATTCTTGGCAATCATGGCTAGGTTTTTTTCCTTTTCTTTCTAATTGTACTGCTTCAATTTTTGTGCCAATGAAAGCATCTTTTAGGCCAAAAATGAAGGAATAAAATTATGCTTCAACTCCTTTTCAGCATGTGTCATATGGTAGTCCTAGTGAAGCAACTCCTACAGGTCTTAATGCTAGTCCTAATCTTTTCTCACCTATAACTACACCCTCTCCCTATGATCAAAGTGGGACAAATCCTTATCATTAAGTGAGCTATTTTAAGTCTAATCATTCTTGAAAACATTCAATTTGTGCATCAAATGTCTTACATTTATTCATATAACAACTCTTGATATATTTGTGAAAAAACTCTCATTAGTTCTTAAGCCTTCATTGTACTCAATCTACTCTTTACATAGAGTTATTCTTTAAGAGATTTCTCTTTACAACTAAATTAAAATCTTGAATAGAGATTTTTCAAATGAGTTGTAACAACTTACTAGTTGTAGCAAGGATTGTTGTTGAAATAAGGCTAGTCAAGTCTTGAGAGTTGTTGAAACAAGGCTAGTCATGTTTTAACAACTTGTTGGTTGTAGAAAAGATTGTTATTAAAAGCTTGTGATTATAATTGAAAATCTCAAGGATGATCATGAGGATTAGATGTAAGCCAAATTATTGGACTAAACTAAGATAAATCATTAGTTTAACAGCTTTTCTTCCTTGAATCTCTTGTTATTTACTTCTACTTTTCTTTAAATCTAGAAAAAGTAATTGTCACCTAATTCATCCCCCCTCTTGGGTGCTAGCCATATCCAACACAATTTACAATTACACTTTTGATAGATGATATATGATGGATGATAGATATATTTAGCTGAAATATTAGTTTGCGTTAACTCCATATTTAATTGTTTCTGTTTAGGTTTAGGTTATTAAACCTTTAATATTCTACTGGAAATGCCTTTTCAAGAGTTATTGAATGTCATTTCTAGCTATATTTCAATCCATATTGTCCATAAATTTGCTACTGGTAATCTCTTTTTTAGGGACTACTTTAAGTCCAATGTGTTTAATTCTAGTTTGATTTTTAGGAGCTACTGGATATGTCATCTATAGCTATGTTCTGATCTATATTACTTGTGATTTTATTGCTAAAAATGTTTTTAGTGGCTACTTTAAGCCCAACTTTGATATGTTTTGGTCCAACAAACAAGCTTCCAAATGCCTAAAAAAGGAATAGGACTAAACATCTAGCCAGACATGCTCCAACTCTACCCGACCCTACCCCTCTAGCCCGCCAATGAACAGGCATCTTTCGAGTAGGGTTGGGCTTCAAGTAAGGTTTTTTTGCCCAAAGGTATTTAGAGCAAGTGATAACACTCATTGTCTTCATACATTTCTTAGTTTAAAATAACCATTTAATACATTTACTTGAGTAACTATGCATCTCTTGTGCATAATTGCCTTAGTGTAATGTTAACTTGCTTTAGGGGCATTTTAGGTATAAAAGTAACTTTTTTCAATTCTTTCATTTGAGCTTTGAGATTACACCTTTTAATGTATCAAGATGATTGGTGGAATTACTTTTCTTTGATTCAATCTAGGTTGGGATTTATTTAGAACAGACAAACTTTAAGGTTGTCTTTTTAAAGGGTGTTATTTTACCTATAGCTTGGGATCAATTGTGTGCATCACTAAACTTAATATTCTCACCTAAGTTGAATTAAACATTTCTTACCTAAGTTTGAATTAAATAATGTCACACTATAGTTTAATTGATTATTTTATTATCTTGTGACATAGGTGAATAAATTGAGAAATGAAGGCATATGACAACTTAAATCAATTGGTCACTTTATCACCTAGATGGCACTATTTATGTAGAAGACAAGGGGCCTAGAGTAAGCTTGGAAGAATAAAGCACACTAGATCAAGCCAACTTTTGAAATCATCACCTTTTCCTCTAAATTATGCAAGTTACACTTGGCAGTTCTGCCAATTGACTCTTTAGTTAGAAGACACATGATAACTCACTACTTTCTATCATTTTCTTAGCCTTTCTTTCTCTCAATTTCTTCCATCACTATTTCTTCTCATTTTCTCTTAACTTTTCTTCATTTTCCCATTACTTTACCTCACCATAACTTTCTCAATTCATCACCAAACCACATAAGACCACTCTCATTCTTCTCCTCTCTCTCTGAATTCATCTAAACCCTCTTAATCTTGCTTGAATATGTGGCTTTGACTCTTCATGGGAGAGACCAACATGTTCAACTCAATTAAGAGATTCATGATAGACTTGAAGATGAAGATGGAAAGCTAAGAAGGAGGAGGATTCCTAGGAGGATGATGCAAGGAGATAGAGTCCAAAGATCATCAATTGGCTAAGAACATTCTTACTATAGCTTTCTTATTGGAATCATATTGTAATTCTTAATCTAAGTTGCAACATTGAAAGGCTTATAGCTCTAATTTAAGTTCATATGTTCTTGAATAAGGAATGTTGTTTAGAATCTCTTCTTGTTATGACTAAAGGCTTTAATCCATTTCTAACATGATTGCATAATTTTATGTTATTGAATTAGTAGTCTTGATTTTGCTTTACATAATCTTATGAGTGATCTCTTGACTAAGTCTTAATGGTTGAAATAATCTTGTAATCTTCTTAAGCACTTTCACAGGTCTTGGCTATGACATTTAGAGGATACAACAGATTGGTACACTTAACCTAACTAGGAAACTAAGGCTAGGTTTAGTTAATTAGTAAGACTAGAAAAGGTTAACTAGCTAGACTAACTTAGGTTTAATTGAATCTAGGTTAACAGTTGGCTAATGAGAGGAACTAATAAGGGAATTTTATAATTGGATAAGAACATCTCTACCATCTAAATCCTAGGTGTCTTCATCATTTCATAAGGGGAAACAAACACACTTTTACTCACTTTAGTAGTTCTAGTGCTTAGAACTTGAATCTCTCCACTTTGGTAACTTTTAACACTCAGAATAATGTCATAACTCATTGGCTAACTCTTTGGGAGAATCACCCAGGTTGCACCTTTTACTACATTTAGGTTAATCTAGTTTTTTATTTTAAAGCAAAGAGATATTGCCTGTCAATAAGGTACTAGGTTAAGGGTCTACCTTACCTGACTCTACCCATACATAGCCTTACTCTTAAGTGCCAACTTACTTAATATTTGGTATCAGAGTGAGGTCTCTAATTCCTAACTTAACAGTCTTAGAGGATCAAAATGGTTAGCTTTGGTGATATTATTCTACTTAAAGATGCCAAGATTAACAAGCCTCAAGATTCAATGGTAAAAACTGTACAATCTATAAGAGCAAAATGAGATTATTTTTTAAGGCATATGATTTAGATTTGTAAGATATTATGAAAAATGGCCCACACATTCCCATGAAATATAAAGATGGAAAGAGGGTGCAAAAAGACAGAGAAGATCTATCAAAAATGAAAGAAAAGATGGTGCTACTCAATTCTAAGGCAAAGCTAATTATAGCTTGCATTTGCATATATGCTGAAAACTATTTTTGGAAGACAAGTCATATGCTCACACACATTGTTTTAACTTAGAAAATATCTTAGAATGCATTTCAATGGTTTTCAACTCAT